TGTGTGTGTGTGTGTGTGTGTGTGTGTGTGTGTGTGTGTGTGTGTGTGTGTGTGTGTGTGTGTGTGTGTGTGTGTGTGTGTGTGTGTGTTGGGGGAAGAGCTAAAACAAGTTATTTTGATGCAACAAGTTTTTTGTTTTTTTCAGGAAATTATAACTTTTTTTTAAATATTGATGAACTTATCAATGGCATCGTATTTTTAAGGAAAACAATACATTAATTAATTTGACAATTACCAAACAATTTATTTTCAAAGTACTATTTCTGTGATATCTTACAATAATAGCTATACCTATGCATAAATAATAAAATAAAAAAAGTGTAGAATACAAACCTGACTTTTTTTTTTTAAAGTAGTTTTCAATATAAAAAAAAAATACATGAAATAAAAATAAAACAAATCAAGGAATGTCAAAAATTAACCAGTTTTAGAGAATCTGATACGATTTGTGTTAATGTTTGTTCATTTAGATTATGTTAACTATAAGTGTTGAAGTAAGAAGAAACAAACAAACTACAAGTTTGTAGACCATATGCTATTTAAAAATTGAAAGTATAAAACTAAAAAATTACAGATAAAATAAACAATGACATTCATCTATTTAATCAAGGTTGCTTCAAAGAATTGCATTAAACAATACTTTATGTTGTGCTAAAACAATTATAGTTTGTGATTTTTTTTTTATAGAAAAAAAAAGTTATATTTTTAAACGTTTCTGCAAAGTGAAGGGCTTAATATTTAAGGAAAAAACTGTCTAAATGCGCAATTAAAGAACAACCTCAAAGTTACACTTGAGGTGCACACAATTTTAGTTTAAGTGATCAAGACAGTTGTTTGTTTGTTTGTTTGTTGTTTTTTTTAATTTATTATTATTATTATATAAGTTAAAAAGTTCTAATGTTTGGTAAACAAATTTGTATTACTTGACCATTTGAGATAATTTATTTCATTCAATTTCTTTATTCAGCAATACTTCAGATATCATGTTCTGGTAGATAAGAGTACTTTTATGTTGTAATGATAATACCCTAACACCATGTGCTTTTAGTCTTATGAATAGTAACTAATAAAGATACATTGTGGAGATATAGGTCATGATTTTTATTTACCTTAACAGAAATGTTTTGTAATAAACTCCAGTTTGTGTTAAACAAAGTTAAGAATAACAGTTTTATAATGTTTAGTTTCTACAGTGAAGCAAAGAGGAAAGTTTATTTAAACATAATTTAGTTTTACATGTGTGATTCACTGTGATGTTTAATGTAGAGACTTGATTGGCTTGCCTCCAAATAGTGTGACTAGGCTTAGCCCTGCTTGACCTACCACATTTGCATACATTTTGCAATGTATGTGTACTAGGTCTAAGCGAGACTAGACCTAATCATGTTAATCAAATGATAGGCTTTGACCAATCAATCTCTTCATTCCACATTTTCATGATGCTGTCAACCAGGCTCTTCCCTCGTAGCTTGTGCCCAAAACGCCCTTTCTTACTGTATGGTCAAGCAGTAGGCCTAAAATATGACTAGTTGCTATGCCTGATTGAAGATATCTATTTTTTAATTTTCATTTATTTCTTTTCCATATAACTTGAATAGCAGCCTTTTATAATGTCTCCCCTACAGGTTTGGAATGTAGCCCAGAAATTTTTGGTTCTGTTAATACAGGTATGTTTATTTTTAAAGAAGTTTAAAATTATAGTATTTGAAATATATTAAAGATTTAGGTTCATTTTTATCAGTAAAACCCATTTTGATTGGTCATAAGTATACGTAGTTTTAGTCATGAAATTTTATGTTTATTATCTATTGCATAGTCTAAAGTAGTGTTATCGTGTTTTGATAGCTAGATTAATTTATCATGTTGGGATAGTTAGCGTACTAGTACCACATGTTTACCCCTCTCACCAATTCATAATACTTAAAACGCTTGGTACGTTATAGAAAAAAAAAGTAATTTCAACATCTACCTAATATTAGTTGTTTTTTTTTAGTTAAGTTTAGTTATTGTATTTTTTTTTTTTTTTTTTTTTAAATACA